GGCGGCGGGGGGGGGGGGGGGGGGGGGGGGGGGGGGGGGGACTGCCCCTCATCAAATGCAGCATCTCACCTTTCTAACATGACTAATATCCAAAGTTATAGAAAACAAGTCTATATCATAGCCATCATAACCTCTGGCGCGGGAACCAGGAACATTTCTCCTCGGCTAAAGAACAGCCGGCATTCAGTAAGTCAATTTTTACCATAAAAAGTGTTTCTTCTCGCTTGGGTGCCGAATCAACCCGCATAACGTCATCATAAAGATATAGAGCAATATTAATTTACGCACATAGTGATACCTAGATTCCGAATCACACGACGCCTATATCAGCACTTTTGTCACCGCAAAGCACTCTAATAAATGCAAAAAGGCCACATCCTACCATAAGTCGTTGGGAGATGAATATGGACCGCCAACGCCTGATTATTCCCGAAGGAGAAATACCTGACAAAAGTCCTGGCAATAGTTTTGCGATGTTCCTGCACGAAAGTGTGCAACGAGCAAATTGAACCGTTCTTTGTTAATCTGCACTAGATCTTTTTCTAGACCCAATCCTTCAGCATCGTCAATTCTTATCCAGTTATAATATCGGTGATAGTATACAGAACCACCACATCGAGCTGATGAAGTACCAGAATGGCGATCACGAGGGCTGAACCCTTACTAAAACTAAGCTCTCTATCTTCTTGACTCTCTGCCAAGACCTGTTGCGAAATCCCAAAATGCCACTTTGAGATTTCGCAACAGACCTTGGCCGGAAGCCAGAGAAAGGGGAGGAGCTAAGTTGTGGTGAGGGCTCGGCCCTCGCGATCACCATTCCGATTTTCGTCAGCTCAGACCCACCCACCCGCCCTTGTAATTTCATAAGATGGCCCCCTTTCTGCGTAGTGGCAATCAGATTAGGTAGGTCATTTTATAGCCGTATGATATCACCTCAGGGCAAGCAGATTTTCCCACACGCCTAAATCTAGACCCCTGATATATGGGACATCTGGATATCTAAGTACGGACGAATTTGCTTTGTTCTGAGGAGCTTCCTTTCAGTTCTTCGGCTGGACTCTAAGAGAAGGGCAGACGAAACGGCGAAATTGGCTTCATGCACTGGACTTAGCAAGGTGGCGGCTTTGATTGAGGAGGGTTTCAACAGCGCGATAGCCGACGAAACTTTGAAGATATATAGACGAGTGCAGAAAAATTTCCTAGAATTTATCCGGAAGTTCAATGCCCCTTTTGCGGCCCGACGCAAGCTCAGGAACGTTTTCGTGGCGCACCTCATCGGCAAAGGAAGAACTAGATTGCTAAGATACCATATCGCAGCATTGTCCCATTTCTTTGGCCCTCTTCCCCTGATCAAGACATACTAAAGCCCTTCTCCGTTTGGCCAACAGGAGCAGTCATCCAGTGAAGCATAGGAAAGCTACACAATACGACGAAGTTATGGTGATATGGGCTTTGAACAGGAAAACGCTTTCAGCAATAGCTGTGCTTCCGCTGTTCTTCTGCTATTCGTGGCTTTCCTTAGAATCGGTGAGCTAGCAGTGATCCCTTTCCGGCTTAGCGGGCAAGCGTTGATTGTGGAAAGCGTTCAAAAACATCTTTTCTTCAAATCCGGTTGGTTTCATTTTTAGCGACAGGCTTCGAGGAAAGCCTTCAAGAGACGCTCTCACGAGAAGGATCAAGAGGATTCTGGACGAACCGAGTCTCCATCACAGGCGCCTCACCCCACATTCCTTCCAAGGAGGCGCAGCGACTACTGCCATTCCCTCTGGAATCGACCCTGCCAACGTCATGCGCGCAGGCAGATAGAAATCGTTTAGTTCTTTTCTTTGCTATATTTCCCAGCCCGTTGTAAATACGAGATGTGTTTCCTTTTTGCGGCTGTACCTAGTTTTCTGACTGATTTTTCTTTTCTCCTGTGATTTCGTTAGTTAAGAACTAGGATATCTGTTAGATTTTGCGACATCCCTTTAGTGTCTCATGCTAGCCTCCGGGGCACTTGTATTCTATTCATTATTGTTTCATCTCATAATTACTTGTTACAGTTCTTACGTAGATCATCATGTACAGTGCATTGTTTTCTCTTGCTTTAGACGTTCTGCCTTATTTTGATTTAGGCTAATCCTTCTTTATCTATTCCGTGTTCAGTGACATCACTGTTTTTTGTACCGCGATATCCACAAATTTGAAGTAAATAAGAGGATCTCACTGTCATGTACTGTTATCCTTCAATGATCTGAAACTGGAAGAAAAACTCAACAAGAATTGTGGAGACGGAATTGTTGTTCAACTCTTCAATCTGAAATTACAAGCAAAAATACTTTTTTAGAGTTCCACATTCCACCGTAGCAACTTTTCATTATGAATTTCTTAATAGTTCTATAAATCTCAAATTTCTGGATATTTCCCACGTTTCAGATACCGCAAGCAAAGATACAATCAAGTGGATATCTATCTGCAATCTGAGTTGATTGTCTTACAAGGTTGATAGGTTCGATTCAACTTATCATTTATCAGAGTTCTGACCAACGAAAGTCAAATAAGAAACCAACTTTTTTTTCAACCAGTGCTTTTTTCACTGTTCTGTAGTCTTACAGCAACTTCGAGGCACAGATAATCAGTGGAGGCACACGAAGAAATAAGAAAAGTTCGTCAATCTTATGCGCCTCCGATGCACTACTTACGTCTAACGCAATGCAATAGCTGAAGAAAATTTGCAATGAAAAATACCTCAAGAGGAGAGTAGACACGACCACAATCACTGCAGTACTGAGCGCCTTTTGGCTGAGAAGGGTCAAGGGGCTGGAGCGACGAAAAAACTGCATTCCATCGAGTTCCTGCCAAATTGTACTGAATGGAGGACAGATCTCGCTGATTCGCTACCTGAGCACTATGTATTTGAAGAGTACGTCATACATGAGAAAGTCTCTCTGAAAGCAGTGAAAAGAGATTCACCACTTTTTGAGATAACGCCAATACCTGCTCGCTAGAACTTCCTCTGACTGTGGGCTGACCAACAGGCATGCAGGTGCTTGACTTCAGCTGCTCCTTCTGCAATGATAATCTAAACACAACTATAATTAAGACCGAATATTTGTGTTCGAATAAAACATTCGCACTTTCAAAATCGATTATTTGATTTTTAAATATTCGGAAGAACGCACTTACTAGATTTTCCGAAAAGTCGAGTATTGAAAAAGATGCATTTATTAGATGATTCGAATAGTTGAATATTCCGAATCATCAACATTTGAACATTCTTTGAATAGTTTTTAAACTGAGATTCGAATAATGTTTAACCGTTCGGGAATCTGCATCATCGAATATGATCGAGATCAAGTATTTAGTTTGAGAAATATTCGAATAATCAATTATTTGTAAATAAGAACAGGCACATTTAAAATAATGCACTTGTCCTGTTTCGAATATTCGATATACTCAATTATGCGATAATTCGGAAGGTCGAATATCCAAGATTCTCACTATATGTGTTATAAGGGGAAACGGCCCTTCTGGGTGAACGAGTCACAACAACCTTTTGCCTCTCTAGGTGAACGGGGTCGTTGACCAGAGGGGAAAGGGGAGGAGAGGCAACTTTCTGGTACCATTAAAGTTTTTATAAAATGTTTGTTAAATTAATCAATTGAGAAATAAGAGATTTCTTTAAAATTTAAAATACGATTTTTATGCCTATTTGCAAGTCCTTTGCCGAATATAGGGACAGAAGATTGTGGATGATAATGATAAACATATAGATTGAATTCTAGTTGCATTATTATAATCATGAGAATAAACTGTGCATAATTAAGGTGTTTCTGCAGGAGAATTGTGCTAAAAATGATTATTACTTTGAGTCTTTTTCTTGAATTGGAATCGTGCTATTGTAGATGTCGTCAGCTGCGAGAGTATAGACTACAAGGAGGGGAATCTCCTTTTTTGAATTATTTTGAAAGCATAGTACTTCACTTCAATTTGTCAAAACATACTTAGAGTTGCGTGTAAGCTAGCACTCGCCACTTAACTGCGTCGGTCATCAGAGATCTCTCCTACAGCCATTAAAAAGCAGATTGATTTGCAAGGGTATTAGCAATATTACGTCAATCTCTCTCAATAAAGTAGCTAAGCTTCAGAGTGATCCGATTTGATTTGAAAGAGATCAGGGCTTTTAGGACCACGTCTTCTAGAGAAAAACACTTGCAACTTTTTTCTTTAAAAACGAATAGCAACATCAGGGGCATATACAAAATCCTCATATCGTCCGCTTTCAGAAAATATATAAATTGTTGGGGAAAATATTTCATTTAACTTGACGAGGGTGGGTGAATACATTTGTACTGCGATATTCAGGTCCCCTG